TGCTTGGCTCTGCCCACGCCCACCACCCTGGGGAGCACCCAGGCAGGGAGATGGGTCACGCCAGATAGTCTCAATCCCACCTGTGTTGGTCTTGCACCCTCCCTCCTCCAGGTTGGTCACCCCTTCCAGCACCCCCCAGCAGGGGTGAGTCCCTGTCCAAGTTCTGGAGCTCATTTGTCCCCATCCCAGGTCCTAGCACACACAGCATTTCCCGCCCCGGGGCAGAGAAGTGGCTGGACATGGCTGTTACCATCTCTTGGGGCTTGGTTTGGGCTTGGGCACTGGTGGCTCTTGGTCAGTCCTCAGGGTGCAGAGCAGGGGCTCGCCCAAGGGGTGTGACAGCCCAATTTGCAGCCCCCTGGCTTGGTGGCCACCCTTCCAGCCAGCCTCTGATGTCTCTCTCCTTAATGATTACTGCAGGATTGGTGCTGCTGCTGAGATGTTACTCATCAAGTAGCCCAAAGAGTATTTCTGTCTGTCCTTCAGCCTTCATTACTCCTTCCTCCTCTCACCTGGTGACATAGCTGCATTTTTCATCTCAGCTGTCATATGTGGGTGCCCTGCTGTCATGCTTTCTGACCTCTGCTGGAAGAAGAGCCTTATTTCCAACTCAGGGGTGGACTTGGCCAGCCCACACCCCCGTGTCCATCAGCCTAGAAGAGCCAGGAGGCGAGAAGCCCTCTTGGAGAGCCTCCAGTGCTCTGTCCTGGGGCAGGTCTCCCTTCCATCAATCAGTGATGAGCCCAAAGCAAAAGGATTTATATTTTTAGTGTGATTTTAGTGTGAATTAAAGCAGTGCTATTCTTGGGATCTGGATCATCTCTGGTTCCTTCCAAAGCCTTGGGTCACCTCTGCAGGTTGGCCAGGTGGTGCCTGCACCTCTTCTGTGGGGGTTTCCCACTTGTGTCCAGCTCAGCTGTATTCATCTCCAGACTTTCTGATCTTTGCTGGGTGGAAACATCACCAGTTGCCTGTCACATCTCTGGCTGGATCATTTCTGGTTTCACTGCAGGGCTTTTCCCAGGCAGCATGTCTAGAGGGGACAACTGGCAGGGATGTGCACGCTCCAGCAGGCAGCAGCGAACAGAGTCCTTTTCTTGTACCATCTGGTTCCACGAAGTGATGTGAACTTGTAAGTCTCATCCTCAGTCCCAAAAGGCAAACGTTGAGGTACCCATTCCCAGTCCAGTGCAAGTGAGGGCTTTCCTTGGTGGACAGGGCTGCCCTGGTGCCTCTCTTGCAGAGAGGCTGTGGCTGAGCACCCTGCCCAGGTGGAGGCAGCTGTTGGCAGCATGCTGCACCTGCTGGGAGATGTGGCTTTGTATCCCAGGTTTTGCTGGTGGGGTAGTTGGACTCTGCTTCAGCAGCTTCCCCAGGGGACCTGGCTGGGACCACCTGGGGATGCCACTGGAACTCCTGAGTAGGTGGTTTCCTAGACATTAATTGTGGCCTCACCCTTTGTCCATCTCTGCCCTTTTGCACATTCCTTGAGCGAACGTTGCTTCTTTACATTCTGGCATTTATTCCTCATGTTGCTCCTTCTTTAGTATTCAAGGGCAGGTTGGATGGCGCTTAGAGCAACCTGGTCTAGTGGGAGGTGTCCCTTCCCATGCATGGAGTTTGGAGCTGGATCATCTGTAAACTCTCTGCCAACCCAAACCAGTCTGGGATTCTATGATTCTTACAGCCCTCAAAGAGATCATGGCAACACAAATAGCTTTGCCTTCTTCCTGCCATGGCACACTTGTCCCCCTGTCCCACAGGCTGACTGCCCTGGTTTTAGCTAGAGCTGGTCCGAGCTGAACAGTAGTGGCCAACCATAAGAGTCCTCCCAGTGTCACTTCTGAGGTTGGGAGTTGTTTGTTGTTACAAGCTGTGGTTAAACACCCTCCCCGATGCAGTGGAGACTGCCCTCTCCCCAGTGGCATCTTTAGATGTCTGGTCCAGGCATAGCCAAATAGACCAGCAGGACCTCATGGGCCTTACTCCTTATCCACTGTCTGCCCTTAGCTCAGTGTCTGTATCATAGAATCATAGAATGATTGGAGTTGGAAGGACCTTAAAGATCATGAGTTCTAACTCTCCTGCATGGGCAGGGACACCTCCCACCAGCCCAGGTTGCTCCAAGCCCTATCCAGCCTGACCGTGAATACTTCCAGAGATGGAGCTTCCACAACTTCCCTGGGCAACCTGGGCCAGGGTCTCACAACCCTTACACTACAAAATTTCCTCCTGATCTCTAACCTAAATTTCTCTTCCTTCAGTTTAAAATCGTCCCCTCCTTGTCCCGTCACTACAAGCCCTTGTAACAAGTTCCTCCCAGCTTTTCTGGAGCCCCTTCAGGCACTGGAAGGCTGCTATGAGGTCCTCCCAAAGCCTTTTCTTCTCCAGGCTGAACAGCCCCAACTCCCTCAGCCTGTTCTCATGACAGAGCTGCTCCAGCCCTTGGATCATTTTTGTTACCTCCTCTGGACACACTCCCACAGCTCCACATCTTTCTTGTGTTGGGGGCACCAGAGCTGGACACAGTATTGCAGGTGAGGTCTTACCAGGGCAGAGTAGAGAGGAAGAATCATCCCCTCTCTATCTGCTAGTGATGTCATCTATCAGCATCAGGCCACACAAACACAATGTTGGAGGTTGGAAAGGACCTTTGATCATTGATCATTGAGTCCAACCCCCCTGCCAGAGCAGGAACAAATCTTGGGCAGATCCCTCAGAAAGGCATCCAGACAGGTCTGGAAAGTCTCCAGAGAAGGAGACTGCACAACCTCTCTGGGCAGCCTGCGCCAAGGCTCTGTCACCTTAACAGGAAAGAAGTTCTTCCTCATGTTGAGGTGGAACTTCCTGTGCTTGAGTTTGAATCCATTGCCCCTCATTCTATCCCAGGGCACAAGTGAAGAGAGGTTGTCCCTGCCTTCTTGACACCCAACCCTCATGTATTTATAGACAGTAATTATATCCCCTTTATAGCAGGGTGTATTTTGTCCAAACTCAGATTTTCTGTGAAATTCACTTTGTGTAGATTTGGGTTTTTTTACCAGTAATGTGAGGACAGAGGAGCAGCTGCCCAGAGTTGGGTGAGGGGGGCCAAGCTATGGTTTCAAAGCTGCCCAGGGGAGCTGGAGAAAGGAGACACACACACTCTGGTCTGTGCTCACAGCATGAACCTGCCTGGAGAGAATCATAGAATCCTAGGGGTTGGAAGGGACCTCGAGAGATCATCTAGTCCAACGCCCCCTGCCAGAGCAGGGTCACCTAGAGTACATCACACAGGAACACATCCAGGTGGGTTTTGAATGTCTCCAGTGAAGGAGACTCCACAACCTCCCTGGGCAGCCTGTTCCAGGGCTCTGTCACTCTTACAGTAAAAATTTTTTTTTCGGATATTCACCTTGAACCTCCTATGCTCCAATTTACACCCATTACCCCTTGTCCTATCACTGGTCATCACTGAGAAAAGCCTAACTCCATATCCCTGACACTCACCCCTTACATATTTGTAAACATTGATGAGGTCATCCCTCAGTCTCCTTTTCTCCAAGCTAAAGAGACCCAGCTCTGTGCTAGACTCTTTCAAGCACTTCCCTGTCCTTCTTGAACTGAGGGGCCCAGAACTGGACACAAGGCCCTCCTTGTTGGTTAGTTGTTGGTTAGAGAGGCTGAGGCCTTGTGCATGGAAGCACTTGATGGACTTCAGCCAGGCACACCTTTCAGCCATGCCTTGTGGAGTTTTTTGGCAGCATATGGCAATGAGCTCTGTAGCTTCATTTTGGCTTTATCAAGTAGAAGACTGCTTTTATTTGATCTCTCATGTCCCCTGCCAATGTCTGGCCCTGGAGGACCACATTTACAATAGTGACCCCCAACATTTGCAGCAGCTGCTCTGATGCACCTTTTGGGATGGGTTGGGGGCTGAAGATCATGAGATGAGACCATGCCTGTTGGGTAGGGCTAACCCTGAAGGCCCCAGACCACCATTCCTTTTCCCTGCCATTCACCTTCAGCTCATCCACCCTCCTGCACACACTGCCCTCTCCAGGACCCCTAAGCCTGGATGGGGTTGGGGACACTGAACAGCGTGGAGACCTGCAGGGAGGGGCTGTTAGCTGGGTAGATTGCCGAGATGGGTAAAATGCATCATGAGTCTGGAAGCTTTGAAGAAGCATTTCTGGCAAAAGGCACCACCCTCTCACTCCCCACCCCGGGCATCTTGGTCTGCCAGGGAGTTTTGAGCAATAATTATGTTACAGAGTTAGAGACAGAGTCACAGAGTGGTCAGGGTTGGAAGGAACTTCTGAAGATCATCTAACCCACCTTCCTGCTATAGCAGATGACACAGAAACACCTCCAGATGGGTTTTCAGAGTCTCCAGAGAAGGAGACTCCACAGCCTCTCTGGGCAGCCTGTCCCAGGGCTCTGTTACCCTCACAGGAAAGTTTTTCCTCAAGTTTAACTTGACCCTCCTGTGCTCCAGTTTGTGCCCGTTGCCCCTTGTACTGTCACTGGACACCGCTGAGAAGAGACTGGCCCCATCCCCCTGATACCCCTCTTAGATATCTATCAGTGTTGATGAGATCCCCCCCTCAGTCTCCTCCAGCTGAACAGCCCCAACTCTTTCAGCTTCTCCTCATGGGGCAGCTGCTCCGTTTCTCTGGCAGTCCTGGTGGCCCCTGGTTGTGGCGGTGACACAGCCTGGCTGGCAGATGCACGGGCTGCGGACACCGCTGCGTCCCTGCCACGGTGATGGGCACAACCTGCTGCCCCTGCCACGAGCTGCTGTGCAGGGGTGACACTACATCCTTCGGGCTCCTGCCTGGGCTTGCTGTGCTGGTGCAGAATTTTCCTGCCCCACATGCTCCTCCTGGCTCAGCAGCCCTGCCCACAGGAGCCAATGGCTGGGTCGCCCCGAGCATTAGCCTGACCTGTCATCCCATTAATTACCTTCTGGGTAATCCCGCCTGAGCCTGGCCAGGGTGAGTGGGGCTCTGCTGCCGGCCATGGCTGCACATACCGCGCTGCCCCACAACCTGCGCCGGGGCTTGGTGGCCTTCAGCAGCTCCCTCTTCGTTGACAACAAGACTTGGGACAGCAGCACTACCCGCCCCTACCAGCCAGGTATGGCAGTGGGGCTTGGGCAGAGGGGTTTGGGGGGGTTGCTGTTGCTTCATTATCAGAAACCGGCACAGAACCAAAGCACTCGGATACCTCTGAGCCAGGAGCACCCAAAGGGTCCCTGCACCCACCCACCAAACAATGAGGGAGAGAAAAAAGGGCATTTGCTATAA